ATTAAATTAAGAATATAAATCCCGTATTTTTTAATACATATTCCACGTTTATTTCTCTTATCTACGATCTAGATCTATGTCTAGATCGTCTAGATCTACGATTTCTTCTATGTATCTTTTATACAGGGTGGTTGGTAACTGGTGGTACAAGGGGAAAGGGAGTGATTCTACGCGAAAAAAGAAGTCGAAAATATAGAATAAAAATTTTTTTTATTTTTTTATATTATTTTTTTTTTATTTTTCCATCGAGACAACGATCTACAGTGAGATCCGTTATAACGTACCGCACGCGTACAGAACGGTACCGAGCGAAAATTCAAAGTCGATTTTCTCGAAAACAAAGCCTCAAATCACCTTGTATATATGGTTTGATATGTTTGGTGTACCGCAATAATATAGGTTAAATTATATAAAACATATCTGTTTCATCTAAGAATAACTTACGTATAATTGTATGAACATATATAAAATATTTACCTTAAATAAATCAATGGTCGATCAAGAGTTACTTCTTTTGTATTTCTACATTCTCTTCTACCGAAATTTAACAGATTAACTTTGTAATTCTTTTTTAGCATTCATTACTAACTGATATATATCCACATTGTAGGCAACCTTCAACACGACACACTAACCATGTGCGTATCCACAGAACGACTGTGCGGTGCCTCGTGTCGGTCAACCGCTATTATTTAGAATTGCTTACAGTACTGCTCGTTGATTGGCTACAATTCAGCAGTACAACATGGTACCTGCGCACATCCTTGCGCGATTATATAAGAATATAAATGTATAATATTTGTACTTTAAGAGTGATTAATAGATATCATTGTATGTACAATTTTGTAGAGTACAATTAGATATGTAAGTACAATTTTAACAAGCCGTCTTAACAAGATCTTTATGAACACATCATACATCAAATGTGATACATGCAAAGTATGTATAACATTTAAGATACATGTATGTATGTATAGTGAAAAACAAAACTGTTCGTACAGTTGGAATGTAAAAATAAAAAGAGCAATATTTCCTACATTATTCAAGTATATGTACACCATAAGAGACATTTATATAAATAATGTAATTGTATAATAAATGTATACAAACATTGACATTATTCATTGTTAAGGAAAAATCGATATAAATGTCCTTTATATTGTCGCTAGTAATGATCGAGTTTATTTGTTGACCAGTGACTCATCGGCTTATTCTGTTTTTGCCGAGCACCCGCGTTTTTGTGTCTTGGCGCCAAACTCAACCTAGGCAGTTTTTGCTTTATCTTGGTCTAGGCTTTAGAACACGGACTTACTCATACAAGAGCCCTGACCCGAGATGGTCACCTAAACCTCAAAATATGGAATAATAGAAAATATAGAATATATAGAATAGAAAATATAGAATAAAAATTTTTCGTTTGAGGCTTTGTTTACGAGAAAATCGACTTTGAATTTCCGTTCTGTACGCGTGCGGTACGTTATAACGGATCTCACTGTAGATCGTTGCCTCGATGGAAAAATAACGAGACGTGATAAAGTGCACGCGCACCGAGAGAAAATTCAAAGTCGATTTTCTCGAAAACAAAGCCTCGAACGAAAAATTTGTATTCTATATTTTCGACTTCTTTTTTCGCGTAGAATCACCCCCTTCCCGCTTGTACCACCAGTTACCAACCACCCTGTATAACTTCTTCGACACAAAGTTGCCTATTTTTTCATATTTCCTTTGTTTTACTTTGTATAAATATATTGAAAATTATTCTAACAATCTCGTTTACTACTACAATAGAATATAATTTCGTTCCCCAATCTGCAAGAATTTCAAATTTTTTAATTTAAAAAATCACGTTAAGCTTTTCGAGACTATGTAATGGTACGATAAATCCCAAAGTAACTTTTCGACAGACCGCTTGATCGTTATAATTTTTCTGACATCACCAAGATACGTAGTTCTCATGATAAATGGGAGCAAATATTCTATTTTGAAAATTACGAAATCTATTCCTTTTCTCAAACGTCGGTGAATCAATATCCTTATATTATTATACATATTGTTATTGCCACTTCTGAAACGAAAAATCCGCCTCGAAAGGGTTAAATCAGAATCTTAATGCAACGTCAAATTTTATATAAAAAATAATATTAAAATAACGTTAAAGTATTAATTAACCGTTCGAGTCCCAAGCAGCGCGATTGTCACGTAAGAGACACAAGAAATCACGAAAATGATAGATCGCCGGTGATCTCGCGTCGCAGTTCGAACGGTTTACAAATAAGGCGAAGAAATTGAACTTTGTATGTGGTAGTAGAATTTATTATACAAATCCAACAGAGTGACGGTTCAAAGTTTTACAACAGACTGATTCGAGCGCTTATTTTGAAGAGTTTTTATACCGAGGTTTTAATCCCTCTAGAGGGATTGTCATCTGGTGTATATCAGAGGCGCCTATTCCGTTACTATTCGATTATTGTTTCGATGGCTGTGGTATGCAGGATGTCTAACCTCTATCCTATTACTGTTTCCGAGCATGTGACCCTTCTTGAGCGTGTGACACGATCGTGCTGTTTAGATTTCGTGACGAAAAGTCCCAGTAGATTCGAACGCTACGGACGACTGACGGTATTTTCTATTTCATTGTTATTTTCTTTACTTACGTACAAATTATACTCATCTATAACAAGTATTAACGTATTATAAATAATTAGCCATGTTACTGTGTCACGCCAGAAAAATTACTGAAAATTCTCAACACGAGAATTGATTGTAATTTTAATAAATAATAAAAAAAAAAAATTGTTATTTTCTCGATCATTTTATTGAACAAAACTTGAAACATTTATAAACTAATAGTACGTATATATAATAGTATAGATGTATCTCAGAAAGTACCAAATATGACGAGCGCTATTGCGCCGCTTGTTTCTCTTCGCAATCGATTAAGACAAACACTGTCACGCTGTTGGGGATTTTCGACGTTCAGAAGTTCAAGCTTAAATCCAGCTATAAATAACATACATTAGGCCAATATTCCAATTAATCAGCAGAAGATAGCACGCGATCGTCAAATTTTCGATTGAAAATCGATGTATCCTAGTGAAAGGGTTAAAAGTTGCCTACGATGGCTCGTTACATTGTAACACGCACCCGTTAGCTGCACGCGCTTCACCATTAGCCGTTCTGCAACGCTTTGATGCGTAGTTTTCGTCGAAAATGAAAGATTACACGCGCGATACGATATCTGTAACGCACCACGAGTGTCTGCGTTTCGTCCAAACCTCTCTCGACAAGTGGAATCAAATATGATGATACAAATCGATTTCGTTCACAGGCGATTACGTAAGTAACTTCTATGTCGCTGTAGGCTACGCTGCGTGTCCTAATTTGGCGCTTTCGGGCGGAACCTCTTCAGCCAGTCTGAAACGATCTCGAAGGAAATAGCTCGAGGCAATTTCCTCCGTACAACTCTGATTCGAGAAACATTTTCAATTAGTGGTTTATGAATATCTATCTCTCCATCTTAATTAGGAAAATAAACAGCACTTTGTGGATTTTAACTACCAATCAGATGCTATTTATCTTATTTCATGGCGCTTACCAATTTTCATCTATTTCTTCTATTTCTATTTCTTCAATTTTTTTCTATTTCAAAATTTCTAATTTTCAAGCGTTTCATTTCGAATGAATTTCAATGGTTGTTCAAGTGTCTGCAAGTACGCGGACACAAGAGCATCGGATTTTTAGTTAGTTTTGTATTTAATATTGCGTTTGGATTAGGATGTTTTTCGATAATTGAATTGCTTGGGCGATTAAATTTAATCGAAAATTTCAGCTATATATATTCTAGCTAACTTTTCAGATCTACTTAAATTTTTGTAAATATTCTTAACTTAAGAACGTACGTATGCAGTGGCTACAAAAAGTATTTGTACAACACTGCAGTTATTTTTTGCATTCGTATATTAATTAATTACATTCAATTATATTAAATCTCGTATCATTTAATAGTATTATTTTTTATTATTATTTATTTAGTCCGTGCCTTTCGGCTTTGGACGACTTCCAGATTACATCTCTTACATTGTCTTTACTTATATTTAACGCTCATTTAATAGTACTTACTGTCATATAATTATATCTTCGTATGACGAATAGATTGTATGTCAGAAAATTGATCACACATTCTATTCAAAGAGGCAAACAGGCTTAGAGGAGAAGTTGTATGTAATTATAATCTGTAAGTTCATACTTTATGGTTACAAGTTTCACTGACCTACAATCATATACAGGGTGGTTGGTAACTGGTGGTACAAGGTAACTTGTGGTACAAGCGGAAAGGGGGTAATTCTACGCGAAAAAAGAAGCCGAAAGTATAGAATAAAAATTTTTCGTTTGAGGCTTTGTTTTCGAGAAAATCGACTTGAAATTTTCGCTCGGTACGCAAAAAAAAAGATTAAAAAAAATTTGTATTCTATATTTTCGACTTCTTTTTTCGCGTAGAATCACTCTGAGATCCGTTATAACGTACCGCACGCGTACCGAACGAAAATTCAAAGTCGATTTTCTCGAAAACAAAGCCTCGAACGAAAAATTTTTATTCTATATTTTCGACTTCTTTTTTCGTCTAGAATCACCCCCTTTCCGCTTGTACCACCAGTTACCAACCACCTTGTAGAATGACGTATGCATCTTAAAACGAAGTAATCTCAAGTCTCGTCTTATCGACATGTTAAGAAGCGAAGCTACAAATGACCTTCCGCGATAAATCGTTAATCCGATTTTAATAATGGCTGCCGCCCTACATATTAACATTAAATATAACGTCTAGCGTCAGAAAGCAAGATGACCTTGAATTCTCTTTAACGCCTCCACCATCATTTTTTAATCCCTTCGACCTTCTCCAATTTCCAATATGTGTGTCTTTTTCTTTACCTTCGTTCATTCCAAAATTATACCAACACAATAATAATAGCAACGATTACAATAATAATAGCAAAAAAAACTCACCGAGAATGAATGCTGTAAGTCAATTGACCACTATTTTTCACAAGGTCGTACACTCTGTTTGTTACTGTACGAAATTCATTATATTTTCACAAGTCGCGAAAACGTGTGATCGTAAAGAATAAAGTTATTAATTTAATTAGCCACGATATTAGAAGAACGATACTTGTAGGAATCAAAATACTCGACTAAATTCGAATTCTCTAAATATTATTTTACAGCACAGAGGTAGAATCTGAATTTTTTAGTGAATCAGAACTTTGAATAACTGAAATAGACGAGAGTATAAAGTAAACGAAAGGATAGAAAATGAATTACACATTTTACGATAATTTATAAAATAAGCGGAATAGTGGCGATTTGCACATGGCGCGAGGTTAATGCGAATTTACTTAATATTTTGAAACAACGAGAATTATCTATGTATATATGTATATTTTTCTAACAGTACTGCAACGAATGTTTATACATACCATTCGTTTTGGTAACATTTACTCGAACCAAAGGTTGAATCATCGTCGGAGCATTGCGCGTATTTCAACGTGTTTTCTCTCGTTGCAAGATGATACTCCATGGTTCTGGCGAAACGCAATAGTTGACTGTCTTAAGAGATGTGTAACACCTGATCTTCTGACCAACCTTGGTACATTCGTAACGATCGATCTACTTTTTCTTGAAATATACAATAAACTAGATAACGAATATCTAAATGTGGATGAAACGCAGGAAAAGACAATACTTTCACGAGCTTCCTCTCGTCATGGCTATCACGGCTACCGTTACTCCGATTTTAGACCGAAATTTGTCGCAATTTTACTATCAGATATCTCTCGATTGGCAGGAAAAATAAATTAAAACGTTTAAATCAACTAAATTAAATGAAAATACATTGAATCAACGTCCGCACATTTATATTTGTATTTCTATATTTTTCTTGTACTAGGCGAATACAAGAGTCCCTGGTGTTAGAAAAAATATAAGGAATATTTCTTAATATCTTCGTTTATGCGCTACAGTGATTCACAAAAGTATTCGAACATTTATCACAGAAAAGTTCTATGAATGTGTTATGCGCGTCGTACGAAACATTTCCACATTTGCGTTGTAACGAGATACGAAATAGAATGTAGAAAATGCGCGTAAAGTGGGAAAATATGTAAACTGTCTAAAAAATGAGATACTCGTGTAAATTTCACTTGCGTAGTTATATTCATATACAAGAATTGAGAATTGTCTAGAATCGTATTCCTCGAATTTCATTCCAAAATTCCATTCCCGGAATGAACTCGAATCAACGGATAAATTTTTGTCCATCTACCACGAAACCTACTAATATATATGCGTACGCAAAACACGGCGCGATTTATTTGGGGCGGTTTACAACACGTTGGATTGTTTAGACTGTCCGGATGTTTTATGCGTACGATGCACCATCCGCGATGCATTATCGTGTGTAATGCACGAACGCATAAACACACTCGTCGATGGTTAATGCCCTAAAAGGGCTGAAAGAGACGCTGAATTCTTCTTGGAACATAGAAAACGGAGAAAATCGGAAGCCTGTCATCGAGACATAATCAAGACTGTCTGCTTTATTGTAAAATCTAAAATGTTATGTATTTGTGACCAAGAAGTTGTATTAAGAACCTAGTAACGGAGAATGCAAGAAAAGAAAATCAATTCAATTAAATTTGATCAAATATGAATATAAATTTGTAATTAACAATCGATTATTCTCAAACACATTTATCATTACCAAACTGGGAATATTTCTGCAATTTCATATTCTGATCCTCTACAACCGCTAGAAAATTGCTTATTAGTTCCTTTTCGCAGAGCGAAATAATTTCTCCTTTTTACGTCGTCTCGGCTGTTTTCACTGCTGAGCCAGCGCATGGTTGTTAAGAACTCATAAAATTGAATGACTCTCTAACTGCAGTTTATTTTTCCAATTTATTCGTCTTATCTTGAACTCTGATTGTTTGCGATAATAAAACTCAGCTCTGTACACTTCGTGAAACGCTGTTTGATATTTTCAAGTAAATTTTGCAGTTTCTTCTATAATCAGTATTGCAACACAGTATTGCAATATTCTATTTACACGTTTAGCATCTTATTTAACGTTTTATTTACTATTACAGTCTATATATTTATCATCTTTCATCGGTATTAAATAGATCCAACACAAATTCAAAGAAATCATTCTCGAGCCGGGATCTACGAAACTTCAGTTATTTTTATTTTTCTTCTTTTGGTAATAATTTGAAGAGCCTGACAATGACAAATGACAAAGGAGGAGAATAATTCTATATTTTGTATTATATTCTCAAATCTTTCTCGATAGAGGAAAACCAGACTTATCGTAAAAATAAAAGCGATGTGGAAAGTTATATAATTACTTTACTAGCTTAGATATCAAGGGAAGAGAAACTCTCTTTTCCTCTCGGAAACGAAACATTCACCGTTGCGTTTCTCGGTTCAAAACCTAACAATGTTCATTAAAATTATTTCCAGTTGCTTTCACGCCTCTGTTACTTTGCATTTCGACAGTGTCAGATTATTCGCGACAAACTTACCGATCTACTTACTTAATCAGCCGCAAAGATTTCCTAGCTAATAGGTGCATATCGCTAGATCTCTTTCTCGATCGTCTTGTTTATTCTTTCCCGTTCCACTAGATCGACGTCAACGATTTCACGACCACTGAATTTTTCTTGTCGAACAGATCAGCAGATTGAAAACATGATCGATCGACGAGTAACCCTCTTCTACACCTCATGTACGAGTACAATACGGGTTAGAAGTTTCGTATCGATACATCGTATTATAGAAGCTGAGAAGCTAGAACAGAAGTCAGTATTAGTGTTAATCATATTGGAATAAATACTCTGCTACTTCAAAAAATTCTTCCATAAAAGAAACCTGATAAAGTAAAAAGATATTAATAATGGTATTTTAAATTTTATTAAATTAAATAAATTAGATAAATATTAATAATATTATAAATTATAATTACAACAATATAAAATTACTATAATTTATAAATAAATTAAATATTAAAAAATTATTATAATTATAATATTATAAAAAATATTAATAAATATTAAATAAATTAGATAAATTTTAAAGCAATGTGCATAATTTATTAGAGCCACAGGAGAGATAATATGTTGTTTTTCAAGTAAACAATACATAATAATAAAGATAAGATAATGTCAAGCGAAAATAGTTTTATACAAGCGATGAAACTTAAAAGTCTACTTCACGATGGTATTTAATCAAACAATAGAGTTTCTTTTGTGTTGATTCTTGTAAAGAATCCAAGATCTCGATCAGAGATGCAGTGTTCTTTATTGATTTAAACAGTTTTAACAATTATACATTACTACATGCAATGGATATCACTGCATTAATCTGTGCAGTTATTAAGCATTTCAATTTACCGTCACGAAAACTATTATTCATATACGTGTCAACACGTATGTACACAAAGATAGATATCGTTATCATCCGATATCATAGTATGATATTATCGATGAACAGTGAACACTTACTGCGTTATCTTGTCATTACGTTTACTCCTTCCAAATTTCGCATCATCAAACAGGAAATCCTCGATAATTACCTGTTTCGCGATATTTGATACTCGTGCGTACGCGGAAATTTCACACTGCGGATGAACCGCGTACGAAACTGTGTCTCCATAGAGATGTTGTAACGACTGCTCTTTCACGGTTCGTTGTTTCCTGTTGCGTTAATTAACGTGAAATCTTATACGATCACGGTGTCGACACGCGTGTTAAGCATCCGTTGTATTATTTAATTCCTCCTCGTGAAAAAAGCGGACTTCTTTAACGCAGTATTGACGTCACGATTCTTTATTTACACTGATTAACTTGATGGGTGTAGAAGTAAAGTGGAGAAATAACATACGAATCTTATTTATCCGTATGGAATGATAAATTAACAGTGTTTCGTAGAAACACGGTAGAATCTCGATTGAAAAAGCTTTGGACATTAATTAATGGAGCATTTAGGGATGACAAATGGATGGTGTAAAAGCAACTGAAGAACAAAAATCAGAATCGAAAGAAATTGTTAAGAAATCATCTGACCGTACCAACGATTCAGTAATTTTCTGACGAGCCTTACGATCGTGTCAATAAACTTTTCTCATGGTCCAGCCAGATTTAAATAGCGTTAAAAGCTATAAGAGCGGTGTATGGATGGATGGTTCTGTATAAAAGGCGAGATAAAATGGTTTGTTTAGACGATCATCGAGATCGAGAGCGTGTATGCAAGGCGTTAAATCTTTTAATCCGGCAGGATGCGTGTTAACTGTCTCGCACAGAGCCGGCAGACACGTTCGTGACGTTGAATGCGGGGATCATTGACCAACCTAGAGAACGTTTTGCATGTTACATATAGCAAATATCGATAACTTGTTATCGCGACATTTGGGGCTGACGGTAACGGTAGTATTTGGCGAACGTTGCATCGTCGAACCAACTTCGTTCTATTTCACTAACCGTACTATTGGGTTGGCAACTAAGTGATCGTATTAAGTAATGATTTTGTCATTAGGTGGTATTGATAAAATCCGCAATCATTTAGTTGCCAACCCAATACATTTAATTATCGCGATTGTTGTAATTTGAGTTCATGCTTCGAAAGAGGCTTTGTTTTCGAGAAAATCGACTTTGAATTTCCGCTCGGTACGCGTGTGGTACGTTATAACGGATCTCACTGTAGATCGTAGTCATAACTTACTTAAATTACTTAAGTGTAGCTATAGTAAAAGTCTGGATTAGGGTATTGGAGTTTTCCCTAATATTCCAAAAGGGAGGCCCCGAGGTCCTTTTATCTCCGACATAT